TTTTTTGTTCCAAATATTCATTGCAAATGTTATTGAAACTATTTTAAATACTTTCAAGTATCACATTTTTTTTTCGTCATACTTATTTAAGCTGGAATTAAATTCAGATTCCTTAATTAACATGAAAAAAAGTGGTAAAAAAGAAATCATTTCTATATTTTCCATTTCCTCTCAACCTCTTTTCATTATTCTAATCTTTAATATTTCAATTTTTGCCACCCAGCACTTTTCTAATTGTGACTTATTATAATTTAATTTATCATTCTAAACGATTTATGCTATTATTGTATTATTTTTATATTACTTTATTAACTGAAATTAACACCATAAAGCATTCTTGATGAAATTAACTGTTTTCTTCTCTCTTATCATTACAATCATTTTTCCGGAAGAATTATCATTTTGCAAACAAAAAATGTCTAAATTTATCCATCAAAATTGAGCGTGTCTCAATTTTTTATTGAAACAATAAATGTCTTAATTTTTTATTAAAATATTATCAACCAATAAATTTATTGTTGTAAAATTAAAGTGAATTGTGCAAACATAAAATTTTAGTGTTTAATCAAATTTAGCGTCTCATTAATTAAACAATAATCATTTATTTTTAATTTTGCAGTTTAATTGCTGAACTGGGCATTATGAATTTGCTGAAAAATTGTGCCAACAATACTCCCTTCAAATCGTTTGATTTCTTTATTTGACATTTTCAAATTTGGCATTCTTATAAATGTGATTAAATTTCAAATATCATTGTCCCAGTGAATGATTAATTAGTAATTAGTTAATAATTGCCAAGCAGATAATCTCTATTGATAAGCAGACCACAATTTTTTTGCAACTATTTGATAATTTTGAAGCTATGCTAAGCCATTAAAATACTAAATAAATTAGCTAAAATTAGCTATTGCTACTTCGCAGCAAAAATAACTAAGCTAAAATTTATGAAAAAATAATCAAATGTTATTTTAAAATTTAATAAGATATTTTAAAAAAGTTTCTATAATATTAATTATTTGTTAGTTTCAATATTTGTTTTCTTATTAATTGTTCAAAATGCTTATGCACTAAATGCAACGTTGTCATTGATAAAAACAAAAAAGTGCCATTAGTGTCGTGAATTTTTTATTTGAATTGAATTGAGTTGTTGAGAGGTCCGACAAGCGCCAATATATTACCACCAATCTCTTAACCAGGGTTGATAGTCGTTTACTTGCGTTGACTTGAGTCAGTGAGTTGAATTTGGTAAGATGTGTTGACTTGGCTCGATGTGTGTTGAATCGACGCCGGATTGTAATAATTCTTTATTGGTACAAAAGAGGAATGAGCAGGGTATGAATATGAAGAATGAAGTCTCATAAAAAACTTACTCTTTTACCAAAA